TGTACACGGGAGTACATCGCCTAGGCTAGTCGGTCTTTCGAATAATCGCGAACTCGTTCGGGCGCGTCGCGATTTTCTATTAGCTCGCGTGTTTGATATTTCATTCCCTATTTTTATGGGAACTTGAAAATATCTTAGCGTTGCGACAGTAGAGTTTCAGTATACCGAACCGAAACCCCTTTTGTAAGACGCGAAATATAATAAAGTGTCAGTAGAGTCATTTTAACTTAATTCGCTCCAAGTTAGATTAGGGTACCTTTGATACAGATAGCGCCAGTAGGATGCGCCACTAGGGCGCATGTCGGGTCTCGATGCGTAGCCACCTCCACGTGGTGAGACCTGGTAATTGGTATCGTTTCCCCAAAAAATTGTTTTCTTGGGAAACGATACCAAGCTAAGAGCTACGCACAAAGTTAAAGATATTTCCTATCTCTTGTAGATTTTCAAAGTTCTCTTCGAACTTTGAAAATTAAGAGTGGGCAATATCTGTTAAAGTAATATGTGAAGAAAGAAGGAAGAAGAATAAACTAAGTGGAGTAAGGTAAGTAAGGTAAATAAGGTAAGTAAGGTAAGTAAAATAATTAAAATCTCCCTCAATGAGTAGTCTATGTGTAGTATGCATATGCACGCAAACGCTACGGAATATGCCTCGATAGAATTCTTGGAAAGTGACGTCACTGCTAAGAATCTATCAACGAGCGACCTCCTATCATGTCATATTATCCTAGTACAAAGTCGTGAAATTGGCCGAAAGCTTTACGGCAAAACTGCTAAAGTATTGTCCGAGAATTCTTGGAAATGACGTCATTTCTTGGAACTGTCTCGACGAGCGACCTCCTATCATGTCATGTTATCCTAGTACAAAGTCGCGCAATCGGTCGAAAAATTCTCACTGAAGCCGCAAACGTATTGTCCGAGAATTCTTGGAAATGACGTCATTTCTTGGAACTGACCCGCCAGACGACCTCCTATCATGTCATGTTATCCTAGTACAAAGTCGCGAAATCGGCCGAAAATTTCACGGCAAGGCAGTACGTGCATAGTCCGAGAATTCTTGGAAATGACGTCATTTCTTGGAATTATCTCGGCAAGCGACCTCCTGTGATATTATGTTCTCCTGATACAAAATCGCGAAAATGGCCATAAACTTTTCTTTCAGGCGGTAAAAATATTGACCACGCCGGCGGCAAAAGTATTGTCCCCAGTGGCCGTAAAAGTATTGTCCACGTCAGCTGTAAAAGTATTGTCCAAGTTGGCCGTAAAAGTTTTGTCCAAGTTGGCCGTAAAAGTATTGTCCACGTCGGTCGTAAAAGTATTGTCCACGTCGGTCGTAAAAGTTTTGTCCAAGTCGGCCGTAAAAGTATTGTCCAAAAAATTCTTGAAAATGACGTCATTTCTTGGAAATGTTTCAGCGAACGACCTTCTATTATCTCATGTTATCCTAATACAAAGTCGCGAAATCGGCCAAAAATTTTGCGACGAGAGTGCAAAATTATTTTCCAGGAATTCTTGGAAATGACGTCATTTCTTGGAACTGTTTCGGCGAACGACCTCCTGCCATATTATGTTTTCCTGATATAAAATCGTAAAATCGGCCAGAAACTTTTCTTCGCGGCGGCAAAAGTATTGTCCAAAAAATTCTTGGAAATGACGTAATTTCTTGGAAATGTCTCGGCGAGCGACCTCCTGTAATATCATGTTCTCCTGATACAAAATCGCGAAATCGGTCTTTCTTGCAATTGTCTCGGTGACAGATCTCATTTCATATTATGTTTGTCTAATAAAAAATCGCAGAATTGGCAGAGGGTTTTATGCCAACGCAGCGAATTCTGTAGGCCCAGATTTCTGTCAGCGCGAGAGCTCTTTTAATGTTATGTCTGCCTAATCCAAATTCACATTAAAAATGATGTTACAACAATACTTTTGTGTTACATTGATGTTTACTTATTAAGTATAATAAATCGCGGAAGCAAAACCTAATCAGATATGGTATTTATCAAGACAATAAATTAAACTTTAACAAAGTGACAATTGCTATACATTCTCCATCCTTTTAATAACTATAACAAAAATTTGTGTTGTATACTACTATATAAGTACTGTATAAGTACTACTATATACTACTCTTCAATGCTTTTACGTCTATGATTTTGGACGCGGCGCTCGGAAAAGTAATAGGAACATAGAATAAGCGAGGAGGTCGTTTAAACTTCGTCACGTGATAGACAAGGACAGCAAGCGGTTAGAAAAAGATAGAGATGACGCCAGAGTGAAAGATCACAAATTACTCAATTTCTGTAATTAATTCATGAACTTTAATAACTGCTTCGCAAAACTGGAACTCTGAGCAACTTTCTCATGTAATTTTCGTACACAATTTGTTGCTAATTAGTTGGTTATTAATAGTTATTTAATGGCGTCGTTGATTTGATGTCAACGATCGGCATGATTGTTCGATAAAATAATTAATAATGAGCAAAACTAGAAGCAAAATATGAACAAAAATAGTATGAGAATATGCGCTAGAATATTGTTTTCATACTGAGTCTATAAATGTCACGAATTAATTGCATAGGAGATGCAAAGTAATGAATAAAAGTCAATATGTTCGGCATTAGTTTAAACACTTCGTGTAATAATTACTAATAATTAATTAATTAGGAAGTAATTCATATAAAAAATAACATTAGAAATTTCTTGAAAGTTGTCCCTTTATGATAAAATTATAAAAGTTCACAAATTAATCACAGAAATTGAATAACTTGATGATATTCTCTTTGAAGTTTATCGTATGGGCAAATCATTATTGTCCATCTTTTCCTAACAATAATGCAAGCCGTTGATTGGCGATGCTATCGCCAATCAGAATTCTGACGATTGTATCGCCAACGTGATTGGCTGTACTAGCGCCAATCAGAAAGGCTTGCGGTCAGTGCTATCTATGAATTTGGACTCGAAGCTCGAGAAAATAACAGAAGCATAGAATGTTCTAGAAGGCGTCAGAAGCTTCGAGTCAAAACTCATAGATGGCGGTGTTCGAATGTCGCTTGATTAATTATCCTTATATAACTTATTGAAAGTATTAGCGCGATATAATGGATGGTATTAGGGGTATATTGAGCTTATTTACCAATATTCGTACTACGTATTATATTTTACTGCACGTGTTAGACAACATTTCTTGATTCCTTCGATATTTTTACAATCACATGAAAGAACATATAGTAATTATACGTAAACAATATTTACTATCATTTTTAACAGTTTATCTTCATTAATAATCTCTTTATTATTAATTAATTTTTGCAGGCTGCTATATGTCTTAGCTTCAATGCACTTGGTACTGGGATTACGCGTAATTACGGCACTGTCGAGAAGCAAGCCATGACTGCATATGGTGGTAATATTCCATACACACTTTACCGACGAATATTTTCTCGACTGAATCGAATTGAAAGCTGCTTCGACAATTTTGATCCATGGTTTCTTCTTCAAAAAAGCCTACAGAATACGATAATTCGTAGCAAATTCATGTCAGATAAAAAACTTTTGATAAAAATGCAGAAATAAACGTAGAAAGTACGCTCAGAGATTTATTTTCAAACTTTCACGACCAATTATAGTTATTCAAAAGCAGGAATAATTATAATTATGAACATGAATAAACCCGAGATACTTTTGTCTAACTTGTAAGATAACAATGAACCTCGTTACGTCCTTACCTTGTATATAATACTTCATCTCAGCCAAAAATCGTGCCTTTTTAGAGAAACTCACATTATTCGGAAACTGAGGCTGATACAGAAACTCAGATCATGGATTCGTATTCAGGAAAGTAAACTCTATAAGAATCACCCAATGGATACTACAGATTAAAATTCGCGTTGAACAACGTAATAGAAGGAATAATTTCTTACGGCTCTGTGTAGACTTCACTTCGATAGTGAGCTGTCGATCCGTCAAGGAGTCTAAAATCCATGTGCACTTCTGCTGATAATACTGATTGAGCTTTAAGCCGCTGCTAGCCAGGTCACCGCCATTGACCTCGCCTTCCGGCTTGGTCGTTGTGTGATAACCGCAGTAAGTGTCCTTGATAAACTCGTAAGCCGCACGGAAATTGAGGCCTGCCTTCGAGGACTTCGACCATTCGAGGTACACGGGCGTCCAGCTACGGATACCGACCGGCAGCCAGTCCTGTGGGATATACGAATACACTGGTGACTTGTGTTCCACACATGGAAACCGATTTTGCAGTTTATTTAACGTTTCATTGCGAAATAATATTAACACTGCAAATTGAACGCGAATCGTGTAGCGCTTAGTAACTATATTACCGCGTCGAGGAAGAAATTGATATTATCGACATTATCGAGTACGAGTTTTATTACTTCCTATACAAAATCATCCCTTAAAGCGCGAATATTTATCGAACAAAAATGATTCATAGGAGAAATCACAGAATAAATATACGTTCTTCGTACGTAGTATAACTGATTGATTTCGAAGATAGCAAATATGCTGAGACTAAATCTATATGTTAAACTCTCTTTACTGCATTGCCACGCTGGCAGCTCACTGACCTCTCACAATTCTCTCATACTCTCAGTTTACTCACACACCAACAACTGCAATCATTGCTCTCTTACGGCTACTCTCCGACTAACTTCCCTGCTACAACTTGTTCGCACTTTTACGCCCTTATTTAAATCTTACACTCCGCATTTTATCATATTCAGACTTTCTGTTTCAATCACGCATTTCCCACGCATTCTCGGTAGGCCAGGTATAAACTTCAAACACTTAGAACACATTCCTAAACTTTCGCTCATTGTTCGCTCTAGACTCTCTGTCACAGATGTCCTTTACGATCGATTTTCTTACACATGGTCATTTTTTTTGTTCTAAACTCTCTTAGCATTCTCTTAGGACCATACTCGTTCTATTCCTATCGCAACATTCTCCTTCCTACAGTCGCGAAACGACGAAGATCGTAATATTCTACAAAGATCAACTCAAACACGTCAAATACTCGTGCTATGGCAAAATGACTCTGGCCAAAAGGGATGGCGTTTCGCAAATCGTTCGACACAGGACTCTTTTCACCCCTTTGCCCCGCTGAGCCCTCCGAAAAACAATTTCTCCTCTTTTGTCTACGTTATCTACTTTCGCACGGTACACGCAGGCACTATTTGTTTTATTCAGCGGCCGGTGAAATCGTTCGAAGTAATTCCACGCCGGTTGATGGAATAGGTGTTGAATAGGAACGGCAGAGAGCATTCAATGTCCCGCCAATACAATCGGCAAGCGGGCCGTTTGTCCGTGAACGAAAGTTGAATGAAACGGTGACAGTCGAACGTGAGCGGCAGAAATAAAACGTGGGTGGAGGGTTGAGAAAATAAAAAATTGCAGAAATAAAATAAAAAAAAAAAAAGAAAGGAACGTCGTCGGGATGCTTGGTAAGCGTTTTCCGAATTAAACGATCACGGTCATCGACGGCCAGTTATCATTTCGATCAAGGTGGCACACGGTTTCGAGTGGTTTGCTCTCGAAACGAGGAATTCGCCGGGAATTGGTCGAACTCGTGTCCTTTGGTTTTCGACTGTTTCGCCGAGTACGAAAAAGAGAATGGCGATGAAACACAGGCAGCTGGAATTTTTACAAATCGGTCCCCGAATTCGCCACGTTCCAGTGAATTTGACGCGAACGCTTTTGAACAGAAATCGAGTTAACTTCCTTGCGTGGAGTCTCGCTGAAGTAGGTAGCCAAACTATGCCATCGTATCCTGCTTACGGAGGATGAGGGTAGGTTACGTAAACACTGGTTGGAGAGAACAGAAACTTCTCTTCTTCGAGATACACGCAGTTACCCTTAAAAAAACAGGCAGTATTAGTATTAAAATTCAAGGAAATTGTTGGGACATATATTTTTTCGCATTGAAACAGGATTATTAAGAAAATTATCGTCTATACGACGAAATTATTGTACGAAAGGAATAGGTACGGCCCAGGAAAGGATGTCAAAAGTGTTTGAGCCTAGAACGAAAGTGACTGTGTGCAAGAGGATCGAATGTAAGGGGTGTTTATGACAGAGCCGAATGCGATAAATGAGTGAAAGTCTATGAAAGAAGACAGAGTGCAAGGGTTTAAATAAGAGTGTCTTAAAGTCAGAGAGTAAGGATCAGAAGGTGTCAGAGTGTGTCAGAGTGTTTTAAAGCCAATCATAGAGTTTAAGAGAGATAGTCGAGAGTTATTAACGAGTAGAATAAGTTTTAGTTTAAAATAAATCATTTTTATATTTACGTCACTGCTTATTCTGTTACCTACCCAACATTCCTACATTATCGACGTCGGAATGTGAGGCAAGGATGCGAATGACGGTCTCTACACCTTCCACATTATCTCCTTTCTCGCTCAAGCTTTCTTCCTCAATTACGCATTTCTCATAGCCTCGTTCTCGTACCCTAGGGCCACGTACCCTAAACATTCAGGTGCCTTCGCTCATCACTTGCATTCCATACAGTCATAAATATTCCGTTCATCCGATCCTTGCACGTGATTACTCGTCCTTCCACGCGCACTTCAGAAGTAGCTCTAAACATCCAGCCTGGACCCTAGGTTGCTGTCTATTGCACGTCACCAGCTAGATAAGTCCAAGTGTTCCTTTGCACTAACTCTCAACCTCGCTATTCCTACATACGTCCTTTTCTTTATTCTCAGAGTGCCTAGGTTACCAAACTTCGGCCAGCTTATTCGACGACGTCCTATTTTCCGGGAAGAAGTGTCACCTAAAATTTCCTCTCTCTTATTATTTGTTCCAGCCCAATGTTCCGCTGCTCGCTTTCGGTAAACATCCATAACTCGGAGCAAAAGTTTTCATCGAATCACAGGAAAGACGGAGCAAGAGCCACGAGATATATCGCCACCGGTGAAACTCGCAGACCCGCGAGGAAGACGTGTCTCGCTCGAGATACCGAGGTTCGAAGGTCTCGTGTATTTACCTGATAATTCCCGCAGAGGCAAGTGACGATGTGACCGGTTTCAGAGACGAGCAGAAGGTGGTCCATGTTCTCCAGAGACTTGTTGCTGACGCAGTGGCACCCGCTGTCCCCGCACTTCGTTTCGCAAGGGTTGTTCGGACTCTGCTTCGAGCTGCTCTCCACCTACGGGCAAAGCAACAACAACGACGTCATTCACGATCCGGATTGCGCAACGAGGGCGTTCTCGCGCGTGCAGGAATCCCTGGAACTTGCGCTAGTTCCAGGTGTCTTTCGCGCGACATTCTCTTCCCCTTCTCGAGACTCGTTTGCCACCCCGATTTCACCCCGATTTCTCCCCGAAATCTCGCCAATTCGAATTCTTTCTCACGTCTACCGATCGAATCGTGGAAGCATCGATCGTTCCCTATCGGTACCGTTTCATTCGTGCTTCCACGGGTTAATTATATTTTTATAACTTCGTTCTCCGATATCACGATATATCGTTTCATCACATTTCGGTTCACGATATATCGAAAAATGATACGTAACGCGTACGAAAAATAATTATTAACCCTTTGCATTCGGGGATTTTTTCGTTACAGGAAAATAGTAATTCGAAGACTTTCTGCCATAAGGTCAACGATATTTTTAAAACGGTAAATAAGAAATCGTATGCAATTTAAGACGAAGAATTATTTTACTTCGATATTCAACGCATCGTTGGCTAATTATAAATTTGATATTTAATTAACATCCATCTTTAGAATCTGATTAAATGGTGACTGAGAGGCGCCTCTCGAGTGCAAAGGGTTAAATTAATTGATACCAACCCGCAGCGTGTCGTCGATAAAAAGGGCAAGGGAAAGGGGTAGTAGAAAAATGCGATGAAAATGGGAAAAAGTCGATGGAAGTGATCTGACGCTGAAGAAGTTGGAGATTGATCCTGATGATGATCCCGGGAAGAAACGTGTCTGCGAAAGGATTATCACGCGTGAGTAGTAAACACGGGTGGTAGAACTTACCCGGATGATGACCGACTGATTAGCCGCTGGAATGAAGTGCTGCCTGCATTTTATCGGCCCCTCCATGGCGAATAATCGGTGGGGCTCAGGATGCACCACGAAACCCTTCACCAGTGACGTCAGTCCGTAATATTCGACGTCGCATACGCTGGCCGGCTGTTGAGTGCCACCCTCGCGTTCTGAAATATCGACAAGTCGTAGTCGTCGTCCAACTATGCGAATTCAATCGTAGCTGGCGTCGCAGGGATTAAAAATATTTTCCATGCCTCGACGATCCGCCGAATTGCAAGATAAATCGCGTAGAGGGTCTTCCCTAACGTTTCATCCTTGTCTAGAAATTCTCAGGCGATTCTACCCTCATTCGATATAAACTCGATTTCAATCGATGATAAATCGAAGGACAGATAGGTATCAAAGAGCCAGAGCGAATATAAGCACAGGAATTATCGATTTGCAGCGCGTATTAAAATATAACGTACACGTTTCACTTGTCTGACGAATAACCCTCCTATACTACTTAAACCGCTCGTTTCAATTGCTTCGAGTTCCCCATCGAAATTGAAAGCCTCTGATGTCGAAACTGGGAGAAGATTTCAGGGGAAAAGCAGTAAACTAATGGTCACTGCGTCCATCATCCGAGGGGCCATTAAGTTATGGCCATCGTCGATCCATAGATCCGGATCCAAATATTTGGTAACCGAAGATTTCGATTTTCCTTCGCGGGAATGGTTTTGGCAGGACTCGGGCGAAGAAAGCTCCGACAACGAGGGTTGTTATCCATTAAAGAGAGGGGCGTAGACAAATATAAGGTGGAGAAGACGAGTGTGGAGCTCTCTGCTATCGATAATATTTTGAGAAGGGGTGCAACCGCGTTGAGCAAACGCAGGGTGCGCGAACAAAAGCTCGCTGGAATTACCTGCTAAAATTAGTAAACGCCCACTGTTTTCATATTTAATAACCAATGTCTACCTTCTATTGCTTGTATTTATTTACCGATTAAAAACAAGAGGGTTTCGTATAAAGAACCGTTTGATGAAATTCGCAGAAAACCGGCGAAACGAGCGCCAGGATATGAACGCGCCATAAACTCGGGCGAATCATAACCGACAGACGATGGCACTAAAGTCAAAAGCAACGAATCGCGTTGTGAAGTCGATTTGCAGCGATTTTCGCGTAATCGAGGCGCACGGTAATACACGGAGCGACGATTTCGCCATTGAGCGTCGGCGAGACGCCGGCTAAATTAGCGGTGCAATTTCAGCAGCTAGAACGATACGTCAAACGCGAAACTCGTCACGTTGTAAAAGCTCGCCTCGCGTTGTTGCGCCAGCTAACCAAAATTCCGCGCGCGATACAACCTCGGCAAATAAACGCGAACGTCGATCCTGCAGCCGTTTCACGGAAACGCGTTTGATAAACTAGGATAGAGAGCGAGTCTGGGATAAAATGGCTTTTGCATAAACGACTCGATTTTTCCTAAAATTCCTATTTATTTCGGGTGTTACAGTCGAATCTTGCAAGTTGATTCTATCGTGGAGGAAAAATAGGGAAAATATTTCTGATTTCTGTACTTATACTGTAGTATCGCAGGACTTCCACCTCGTGTATAAGTAACTTTAGTTTAGAAAGTCACCGAGGGATCGAGGGCCAGATCGGGGGAGGCTTTTGGGGAAGATATAAAAGAAGGCAAAAGTGGGTAGCGAACAGTTTCTAGGAAGAGTTCTTGGGAAGAGTGATTAGAAGAGAGTTGTGTTTTAGTTGTAACGGGCTGAGTTGTGATTGTGTTGTTAAATCGAGTTGTAATCTTAAGTTGTAATTGTAGTCGATATATATATGTAGAGTCACACAGTCTCTACTCGCTGGAGAGTACCTCGGAATACTCAGATTCACTGCAGTCTGTATTTTCGATTCGACTCTCAATAACGCGTAACTCTCGCAATCACAACTCTCGGTCTCAACTCTCTCAAGGACTACCTCAACTCTCTAATGACTATCTCAAAACCCTCCTCTATCTTCCAGAGCGGGCCCTTTTAAGCCCGTCTGGAAGGCAAGAGCCTCCCCCGAAGGAGGAGAAAGCTCCCTCCACGTAACGCTCTGGGGTGGAAGGGATTCCTCCTTCAGGTTAGGCTCTCCGAAGGGTCACCCACGCGGGGACCCTTCCCGAGAGGTGCCCACGGACGCGTCACCCCCAGTTTACAATGGGGAAAACCGGGGTTGAGCGAGGCTACCTCACATGGCCTGGCCCCAACTTCCCCAGACTCGTCTGGCGGACGCTAACGAGGCCTCTATACCTGGGGAAGTCAAAAAATATCCTACATCTATATTCGCAGGCTTAATCGTCACCACATATTGTATTATTATTTTCATTACTAATAAATAGTTAGCATTTACCACCACCCAAGTCTCTACAATACGTTATGTGGGATTGCGAGCAGCGAAGGACTCCAGCAAAGGAATAATAAACAGCGGCATTGGTTTCGATTTAGGTGTTTAGAGCGATGTCTGGAATGTGTGCAAACGAATGGGTGACCGCGTGGAAGGATTGTACGGATGAGATTCTTACGACTGGGTCGAGTACAAGCAATGAACGAAAGTCTAGGAATGCGTCCGAGTATTTCAAGTACCTGGCTCATCAAAGGCGAGGTTGCCTGGGAAATGAGTGATCGACGAAGAGAGCTTGTGTATGAAAAGAGAGACTGCTAGGATTTAACCCTTTCGCTACTATAGTCACCGGTCATGAGACGTCATCTACACACGTGGGGTGATTATAATATAGTGATTATACCGGCCACAAAAATTAAGTTAAAAATTGAGACAAGTGCTATCGTTCCGCTTAGCTCTCTTCGCAAAGAATTGCAAACGCTATCGCGATGATCGGATTTTCCTTTTATCTCAAAAGACTAGATCTCAAGTTCCACCTTTGGCATGGCATTTCATTCTAAGTGAAGGTCTCCGCGACGACGCCCACTGTAGCGAAAGGGTTAAATAAGGGTGCAAGAGACGTAGTGAGTAGAGGATCGTGTGTCTGAGAGTTAGAATTGAGAGAAACTTAGTGTAATATTTTAGTGAAACAAACCTGTTTTGTTATTACAAAGGAGTTGTTGTTTATTAGACTATCTATCTGCATAGGATTAATTTAGAAAAATCCTACAGTTATACGTAAGTATAAATAAGTATAATACACTTATCTCTATACTTGTTTAGAAAATAAATTCTACGAAGGGTATTTTTAATTTTCTACATCAAGTATGTTCAAACACTCGGACAGTGGATGAGAAAGTATAGAAATATATATAGGGTGTCCTTTTTTATCTCGAGCACACGTAGCATCTCTGTTACTTCTGATTACATTAAAGAATGTGTACGTATTGTACTTGAAACACGTTCAACTTTTCTTCGCCTCATTTTCACGCGGAAACGTGATTTTCAGTAGTATTCGGGGTCATCTAAAGTTCACGATTTTACACACGGATGAATTCGTTTTATTGCCGGCTACAATATTATTTCGACGAAAATATCCAGTTGCGTTAAAAAAATCGTTAACGACCTTGAACAAAAAATTCTGCCCACTACTATGGAACGGTGCAACCTTTTCCTTACGCGTCTTTTTGCATCGTCAGAAATAACAGAGATATTACGCGTGCTCGAGATAAAAAGAACACCCCGTATATTCTCGGCACTGAATAAACTTTGGTATTCGGTTAAGTTTACTCGAATATCTTTCTTTGTATCTTGAAACAATTATCATTGGCAATTTTGTGCGATATAATCGATACCGCAGTCCTCGAACTCGATGGCTGAAATTAAATTTGAAATTTCAATTACCGATATCGTATGGATTTCACTTGCGTCGATGGAACAGAAACGTCGCTCGCTTTCTCTGTTTCAGAGAATTCTCTTCTCTATGGGACGCAGGAAACACCGGTCGCGTGTATGCAAAGAAACAAGGAAACTTTCGCTGCGAGCACACTCCGATACTGTATCACCTATTTCTGCTAACTTTACCGTGTCTGCAACTTCTTTCCCTTGCTCCAAGTTTTCGCGACGAGTTTCGTTTTGAGGACACTCGTTTTGCAGCTCGCTTACGTATATGTAACGCGTGTTTAAGGCGCACTCGCATGAAACGCTTCGGTACGCTTTGCCCTCTCTCGATCGCGTCGCACGCGGATATAGGCGTTCATCTACTTCGTCGCTTTTAAAATTATCGCGACACATCGTGAAACTATATCGTAGGATACCAAAAGAAATCGCGAATCGGTTATTGCCAACAAAAACAAATTGTAAACCGATCGATATCTTCTAGAAGCAAATCGAAAGGTTATTCTATATAACAAAATTAAGTTGCGCGACTCCTCTACGGGGAGGTGAAACGTAGGTTAACCGTTTGAGTGCCAAGCGGCGCGATCGCGCTCCTTCTATTTTGTGTCCAAAAGTGCCAGCGCTCTGAGCTGCGAAGCTGACAATCAGCGCGCTCGATTGGTGAACGCGGAATATGAGAAGCGCTATCGCGCCGCTTTTCTTTCCCTAAGTTAAATCAGTTTACGAGTTTTGAGTTTGCGTTATCGTGTTCTTGTTCTTTCGCGAATTTTCGGTGTCTCGAGACCAGTTTCGGCATCCTACAATATTTTTAATTTTAATTTCATGAATTATTTACATAATTTCGACTAGTGCCTTCCACTTAATGTCACGCAGATTGCTTCTGCGTTGGACCATTAAACATTTACCCGTATAAATATATACCGATAAAATCACGGAGATTGCGTGTAAATTTATTTGCATTTCCTGATATTTACTTTGACAAATATTTCTCGAAACGAAATAATCGACGCCCCAAGAGACCACTGTTTCAACGAGGATTTAATTAACATTCAGCGAGTTGTATACTTAGCGAATAATTTTTTCCCACCGAGAAATAATTTCACTCGCAACAGACTGTTTCCTGTATAATTCAAACACCATCGCGCGTTTTCAATTGGTCAAATATTTTTTTAATCACGATACTCGCGCTGCGGAATACGCGAAACTTCAAAGGTTGGAAAAATTTGAAATGCGATATTTTATTAGCGAACAGAGACGGTGATTGTTTCGTAGATAATGAAAGAAGGTTCGTCAATTAATTTTTAATATCGCGTTTTGCCGGGCTATCGAAGGAATTTATTTTCCTCGGCTGTGTTCCGGGGACGGTGCCGGTTGTGACGAAAACGAAATTTCCACGTCTCGTTTCGCATGCGAAAAAATGTCATCGCCATCGCGAGGAAAGGTCGACGTTCGAGCTTTTCCCGGTTTTCCGGGAAAGGGAACCGGTCTCCCCGGGAAACATAAGATTTTACGCGCCGGTAGATCGTGCTCTGACATTATGCTGGCACCGGCCCTAAACGCCGGGGCCAGAGAGCTCCTGCGCGATCGAAATTGTACGGCCGTGTACTCGATGTCGATATTCAAGGTCCTCTTCAAAGGAATATTCAATTAGTCGAAGAGTGGAGTCGGCTGAATGCATAAATGCATGAGCGTGTCGCGGTTCGTCGATCAATCCGACGTATCCTTATTATTGTTCGCAGATTTCTACGCGGTTTCCATATTTCCCGCACGCAATGGCTATTTTGAAAAAATACCGCAATTCGTGTCTCCTGTATAGATAACAATAAATAACTAACTCGCTTCGTATATACGTATATCGCTAAAAGCTTTTCGAATATCGAATGAAAAATTAAATAAAAGAAATGACGCGAAAAATGGAACAAAAAATGAAATAAAAATGAAATAAAATAACCAAAGCGACCGACTATGAAAACCTCGTTCAGTTTGCAATTGTATTATCGTGTCCCACGCAAAATATCATCGAGTATCAGCCTTTCCCTGAAACCGATTTTGCAGCAAGGATCGATGGCACTTGATCGCGATATTATTTTCAAAGGCAAAGTCATCGGAACGAAATGATGGCGGCCGGAAAAATTGGTGCGCGTTAATAACGGGCAAATGACACGAATGGAAAGTCAGCGTGGCGACAAACTGCCGGCTTCGATTTGACGGTGATTGACGGACGTCCCGGTCGTTCGTCAACGTTATTACGTTTACACGCGGTGTACGCGTGTCTGAACACGGTGTGCGTCGTTCAGATCGATAAGTCCGACTCCGGCTCCGATTGGAAAACGCGATCAATGGTCAAAAAGTCTGGAACAAATGCGGGATGCACTCGTCGCGCAACGGCGACGCATCAATCTTGCTTTTCACTCGCCGAGCACTTCGATCCCGGCTGGCGTCGCTCGTCCGAGTGTCATCGTCGAGGGTAAAACCGAGATGTAACGCTTTTCTCGATTTTCACTACTCCCTCGATCACGTGATCCGCGTAGGGAGAAAACGTAATATGCGGGGCTGGCGAGTTGGCAAGTCAAAAGCTCGCAATTTTTGAGAACCGAGAGTGATAGAGCAATTTCGACCAGGGATTCGTTTTCAGGAGAGTATAGTCTACAAGAATGGCTCGATCTCGTTGAACATTGTTATCGAGGAAGTTGTGGGTCCAAAAGATGTTGCCTAATTCTATTACAATGTCGACAAAAATACCAAAAATGGGGTAAAAGGAATGGATCACTTTATGGGCACCTTTATTCCTTTATTATAAAGTATATATTACACTTTATTCTGACTGATTTGATACTCTATACTCTATTCTGAATCAGCTTGTCAGCGTTAATAATTTTTCATTCCTGCGGGTGGCCCAAGACAGAGTATTTATGACAGAGATTTAGGCTAGTCTGTGTCAGGCGACCACCAGAAGAGATATTCATAATCCAATCGTATGAATGGAAACAAGGACTCGAAGCCACGAAGCTGTCAAGCAGTCGAAGGATCAATTGTTTACGATATACAAAAGGAAGTTTAAAGATGGCCGAACCGAAGTCGAGTTACCTAACGAATAGAACAGAAGTAACTTTTTGACAAGAGGACCGTGATGAAAAATTCTAAAGAAAACTTCAGAATCTATAACAAGCGAGACTCGTCAACTTACCGGCTCCGCATAATACGAGAGGATAATTGAATAAAAATGGCGGACGAAGAGGACAAATAAAGTCACGTTTACTTAGTTCCGAATTCCACTGTTCCTATTTCGAAACGGAAGCTCTGAAACGGAGTTTTGATACGATTAAACATGCTTTCCTACACACGTGAGACATTTTATCGAATATCTAATGGAAAGACCACGGGTTTCATCGTTTATCATTACGTGTCTGCGTTGGCGTAAGGGTGATTTTTCGGATGGTTGCGTTTTTCCGCGCCCGACGCGCGATAAATCCAGGCTGGATTATCGATTTCCGTTTGACGGACACCTCATAAAGGCGAATAAAATCGGCGCGGTCGTGTAATGAACGCGTCCGCTCTCGCGTCTTTTTTTTTTTTTTTTTTTTTTTTTGCTTAATTTCAATCGAAAATTCGCTTCAAACGCGTCGAGGGTTTTCTTGCACGTGTCTCCGTGGTTTTGCACGACCGACCCCTCTGTATAATTCTTTTTCCCGCGTTTGCTAGTTCTTTTGCTTCTTTTCACCAGTCGTTGGGTAAATCCTCTCATTTAGTTAAGGGAAGTGCGTTGCCCCTCCTTTGAGGTCTTATTTGCAGCAAAGAAAATTTACGTGCTGTGTACCCTTTGTTCCAAGGTTTTGTTACTAAGACAGCATACATGGCGGAGGATGAAGCAGTACACATTGCGTCAAAGGCTCTTATCTTTGCTGCGTGGCACAGACGTGGAACAGGATTGAAGTTCCCCTACCCTTTTTCAGCTGGAAGACGCTACGCTGCTCTATCGGAGACGAGAGTTGCCAATAACATCCTCGAGGTTTAACATCGTCGCTAATTAATTATTTTATCGTGCAATTTTGCGAAAAAATCCAGCTTTAAGGTAATTATCCCATGCAGAATTTCATATCCAGCGTGATCACGCAAAGGATATTTTTCTAAATATAAACGGACGCATTTTCAACTATTCTTTTATCCTGGCAAATCATCGAACTATGGAAAATACTCGTAAACCTTTTAACGTAATTTTCCAACCTTCTACGCGAAAGGACGAAATTTCCCAGTAAGATTGGAAAGGGAAAGCTGGAAGAAGGAGCGTAAGAGTGACAATCGAACGAGGAATGGCTCGCTCCCTTTTTACCACCTCCTGGTAACACACCGTAAACGAGTCTTATGATCCTACTCGTTGAACGAGGCAGCAGGCTATACGACGTAAAAGGACTCGTAATAATTCCAAAAAGTTCAGGAACCGATATTTCTTGTATTTTTATACGTTCCCATGACGAATCTTAGACCCGAACTCTTTGCAGCAGTGGCGCGAGTTTTCTTTAATTCCTCGAGCATCGTGCTGCAATTCGCGAACGATCCACGAGCTTTGAACCGCGAGAGCTTGCGGCCACGATGACCGTAAATGCACCTTATGGATAGTTGCGCGTTCTTGGACATTGGCCAACCGAGTTTCCGGATTACCGTGCGCGCGGACGCATCTATATTCATCCGATTAGGGGTTGGAGGGGTAGGGCGGAGAGCAGGGGTCCGATATGTCGGCTCGCAGCGGCGGTAATTAGTCGCTGGTAATTAGCAAGCGGGACCAGAGCGTTCGGTCGCGGAAAGCTCGGCCGAAGAATCGAAGCCAAAATAATTGACGTATCGCCGTGGATACCATGCTCGATTTCGTTCTTCCGTTCTCGGATCGATCGTGCCCCAGGTCCGGGTTAATTCTCGAAACATCGGGCACCCTCGCGAAATTCGTTTCGCCGTCGACGCGTTTTAATTAAAAATTTTTTCATCGATTTCCTTCTAATTAACCGAGTGCCATTTCGCGGAGAAAGGGCGAGTTAACGAGGGGAACGAGCGGATTGAAATTTTAATCGCGAATCAGTGCCATTCTTTCCGCGAGCGTGCCGCGTTTGCGCGAGGAAACGCGCGGAAGAAAGGTAAATTCGGCTTATCACGGCCGAAAATGGCCCCCTGTTTCGGTCAGGTTTGCATTAACATACGAATCGCACGGCAATCAGTCGCGTTACGCCGCTGTTACTCGTTTAATCGGACAATCGATGCTGATTACGCGATTGTGGGGCAAAAAATGGCTCGTTAAGGCAACGGTAAATATGGCGGCCGCGCTGCGTTCTTTCCCACCGATCGCCACGCGGTTCTTAATTGACCCCGTGCGATCGGGTTTTCGTTTGCTTTCGAATGTAAACGAGGAAATCGCGCAGGAGAGGACCGTGGTCGGTTACGGTGCTCCGCTGGAACTCGCAATTTCGTCAGGAACTATTAATTGCAAGGGAAAAATCGTGTTAAGCCGAGACAATTAGAACTTAAAAAATCCGTGGTTATGGATATGTGGTCATGCAACTGCAAACTCGCGGGAGATTACGCGCAGCTAATTCGAACTACACTTCGGTTCCAATTAAAACTTTTTCGTAGCTTTTAGGCGCGTATAAAATCACCGACGTCCAGTTTTCGATCGTTCGACTTTCATCGGCAGTGCCGAACGAAACAATTTTCCCCGTACCGCGCGCGCAGCCATTCGTGATTCTCGATTTCAAAAGCGAACGTAAACCTGTTGCCCATTAAGGCCCGAAGACATTCAGGATCCTATTGGAAACGTCAACGCGGCGATATAAGAACCGCCGATACTTTTATACGCCACGTTCTCGTGGTTGAAAAGACGTGAAAGATAGTCGGCTTACCATCGTGGAAGTAATAAGAGACGTCCATGTATTCCTCGTCGGTAGGGCTGTTCGAGGCTCGTTTCAGCACGACCGTCATATCTCTGCCATTAGACGAGTACCTTTTCGGCTCGGTGTACCTGCAAAAGACAGAGAGAGAGAGAAGGAAAAATAAGAGAACGGTGAGAAAAACGAAAATAGAATCTGCTTTTACGGGCAGACACCTTAGCCATCGGGGCTCCGTGGGAACCGCGTCGTTTCTTCGCGGAAAACACGTCGTTCCGTCGAGACCGGCTGTAAATCACGCGGTTGCTATCAGAAACGTCGTAAAGCTCGCGTCTCTATCTTCCATCGGCCACCTTCGATCCGATGTTCACCTCGGCGAACCGAAACCCCGTGTAATTCGCACGCGAACGTGTACTTCTCCGCGATCGTTTACACGCGCTCATCAGATCTGCCGAGAGATCCTGTTTCTTCCTTTTACGCCACGCAGTTTGCGGAATGGACCAGGTTCGAGAGGGGTTCGAATCTGCCGCGTGATGGAAATGAATGATCGTTGTTAGGAGTAGTAAAAACTCCTATTTGTATTTCTTAATTGCGACGATAAAATTTCTCGTTTCTATCGCGTGAAAATGCCATTACTCCTATTTCGATGTTCAAATTTTGGAGTAGACGCAGACACACGGGCATAGACATAAACTTTATCGTTTTCTCGAGGGATTACGAGTGAGTTCCGCGAAGTTTTCGAGTGTATTTTCCGTTCAAATAAAATCGGAGAAATTTCCGAGGACGAATGGAGGATAGGACACAATTTCTCACCCCTTGGCGTGAGAATCGGCCCCGTTCGGGGTGGCGAACGACACCGATAACGACAGAGGAACACGGAACGTCTTTCGGGTTCGCTTGTCGCAGAATGCGGCCGCGTGAATAATATACGCGGCGTTTGGCACGTTTGCTCAGCCGACTATTATGAATAATGTTCGCTTCGATTTGTTCCACGAGCACTGTGAATAGAATTCGCGAGGATTTGCCGGCAAAGGACACACGGAGGCAGCTGGAGGCCGCCCGCCACCTTCGCCACCCCCTGGCTCCTCTCTTTCTCCGACTCGCTTCTTTCCCTTTATATCGCTAAGTCGAAGCGCCCGAAGGAAGTTTCACGTGAATTATGAAGCCGAGCGCCTTTATGTCAAAGAGGTACGTCTCACCATACTTGACAAGCTTACGCGGGCGCGGCGAGGCTGGAAGTTGGGCAAGTGGTGGCACAAAGCGCCATGTAAATTTTCCACGTCGTTCACTTCCATTTTGCCCAGCTCGAAGTTGTAAATGGACGTCCTGGGAACGCTGTCTAGCGATAACCCGTGCCTGAATCCTCCATGAGACAGCGTATAGCGATAAGTCAATGTTTGCCGCCCGGTTTCGTCCCGTGATAACGTCTTGCCGCGTGTTATTGCACGGTTATTAATAGATGCAACGAATTAACGCGGTTTTTCAACCGGCCACGCCATTAATCGGATATAGTTATTCCACCGATTTCGGGGTTAATTAATTTGGCACGCGACTAACAGGCGAAATTGCAACGGGAATTCGCGAGGCCACTTGTGACGCAAAATGGCATTCGTTATTCGTCGAGATGACGGGGAAAATGATCGTCTATTTCGCAGTATCGCAGGATTTCCACCTCGTATAGGTAACTTTAGTTTAGAAAGTCACCGAGGGTTCGAGGGCCAGGTCGGTCGGAAAAACCCCGGCGATGCGTCAGGACCTTAGCATGACTATATTTGGTCATGATGGGGGAGGCTTTTGGGGAAGATATACATGTGGGATTGGAATAAAGACGGCCCTGAAAGAATGCCAAGTGTGTTTGGGCTTAGGATGGAAGTGACCGCGTGCAAGCGAATTAACTGCAAAGAATGTTTATGGTAAGGTCGAGCGAAAGTTTAAGGATGCGTCCAGAGTGATTGAAGTATCTGGCCCACGGAGGTTGCGTGGGAAAGGGGCATGATTGGAAAGGGAAGCCTGGGTATGGAAAAGGACAGAATGAATGTTTTAAATAAGGGTGCAATGGCGCGGGCAGCTCCAGTCTACACAGTCGTCAGTCATGAACAGTCTACAGTCTTTAACAGTTTCCAGTCTTTAAGAGTTCTTAAGCTAGTGTCTAAGAGTATGTCGGTAAGTAGAACAGATTTCTCTAGAGAGGGGTTATAAGTTGTTAGTCGTTTAGTTGTATTTTAGTTGAGACAGGCTGAGTTGTAATTGTGTTGTCGAATCGTGTAGTAATCTTAAGATTTAGTTAGTTGATATATAAATTCGTAGGCTTAATCGTCACGACAGATTGTTCATCGATTATCATTACTAATAAGTAGTTATTATATTTACCACCACCATAGTCTCTACAATTTGGAAGATCGGTATACGCGAATTTGGACAGGAGCAGACACGCGAGACGTATTCCAAGAGCGATTTCTTTGACTCTTAGAGCTGTTCGTATCAAAGTTCCTCTTTTTTCGCAGATCAAAGATGTAGTGGAAGTCTCGGGATGCTTCCCTGGGACCCTTCGTATTGCGGAATTCCTTAATATTTCAATCGCGTCCGAATTTCAAGGCGTGCCTGCGACTCGACGTCATTTTCGAAAAACCCGCGAGCCTGCGAAGTGCCGGTGAGTAGCTCGGATCTCGGGAATGTCCGCGATCTCTCGAATGGTAAAGACATCTCCAAGTTCCGCGGCTCTGCCAACTTCTGAACTCGTCCGATTCATAATATCCTTTGGATCCGGCAATATCCCATAGATCCTCCGAGCGAGTTACATCGCCGGAGAGTTACTTAATGAGTTTCGTGGCACAAAAGCGTGGCGTAAAACAGAGAAGAAAAAAAGATGGCCGCGTTCCATTAAGCGCCGGCGAGGTCGCGAGATTAATTTTTCGGGGATCCGCCATTCCCCGCCGTGGTATCGCGTCTCGCAATTATAATACATTGTTTTAATTAGCGAAACAACGCGGTACCCGATAATTATGGCACAACGAAGCGCCGAACGCGTATATACGAAACCGGAAGATTAATTGCGTTATCGACACGGAACTTGCTCTCGTTGCGCTGGTATTTGCGAAATTGGCGAAGTTATAATTTCACCCGCGGTTATGCTACGTGACCCTCCCACGGGTGTGGGCGAGCAGAAGGAGCGGTCGCGCGGAGGCTTCCGGTTTCTTTGATTAAAAACTTGGAAAAATTTGTAATTGCGCGACGGAACATTTGTTAATGAGCGGCAAACGAGCGTAAATAACGAAGGGAACTTTAAATATAATTCCACGCGAGCAACCGCGGCTCTCGCGCTTCGAACAGACCCGTACACCGTGGACATTATTTACGTCCCGCAGGTGATATATGCACGAAACGAACAAGGAATCGCTGTGACTCGAAAAGCGGGAAAACGATAATGAACGAAAAAACGAGGAAAGAAGGAATAAAAGGGAAAAAGGGGGAGAAAAAAATGTGACGAGCGTCGCGAATTGCGTCCCACGAGGAGCAGAGAAATGGCGGAACGGACCCGGGCGAAACAACAAAAACTAAAACCCCTTGAAATTTCGCTCGCGAGCTGCGCTACTACCACGTTGTGCATAATACTGTGACGAAATTCGATTTTTCTATCGAAAACTCGTTAGTGGTTTTCGAGAAACCACGCTCTCTGCCCAAACCGATTTTGTCTTTCCCGGTTATCGCCGTTTCCGAATTTAAACGACTTCGAGCACCGACTCCTTGCTCGTTATCGCTCCTTTCGTAGATAATCTCTGTCTGGGAAGGAGGAGAATCTTTTTTCTTATCGCGATGCGAAATGAAATCGTTTCGTAATCGATGGAACGGATCGTAGGAATTTTTCCGGAGGATCGAGCAGCGTAGTCGGACGGTAAAGATCGACGGGGGGATGTTTTGGTAGGGTGCTCTTTAAAGCGAGAGATCAAGCGACCCAGTTGGCTCATTTTCAACTTTCATTCGCGGATTTCGGATATGCGGACGTCGCACGGGGAGAATCGTGTGTACCTTTGCTGTGCAAACCAGGTCGGACGGCAGAGCGAGTCAGACTTTTCCGGATACCTTACTCCGTGAGATTGTCAGACACCGATCGTGGCTCGTACGTCACTCAAACGAGATTTTAACGCGCGAGCAGACCACCCATTCCCACGCGTCGCAGCCACACGTTCCTTGCGGAGCTTCTTTCTTCCATACAATTTGCATGAGAGTTTTGTTTCAGCCCTACGAGGCGATACGACGTCCCGTTTTTCACACGACGCGGGTTCATTTTCTTCGACTTACTTTTCATCTTTGTCTCCGCCGTATGTACCGCTCTTTTCTATTATCCCCTTCTCGGACGTTTCCTACTTTCTCACGCTCGCCGATAGCATAGTGATCGCGTGAAGACAAAATTTTGTCGCGCGATGTGTCGAGATATTGGGAAAAATTACGTATCCCTGAACGGGGAACGGGGAATTTAACACGGTGAATCGGGTCAACGCAGCGAGCGAACGAAGTGATTTACCACGCGGTGTAATGATTGTCGGACTAATTCTCCAGCTACGCTACTTGCGCGGCACATACGCGCCACAGCGGCGACGAAGCGGAGCGTAAGCGAGTAATTGACCAACGTATTTACCGACCTAATCGTGTGACTGTCTAACAGGCTGTCTAAAGACATCAATATTCGCAAATATGGGACACTGGTAACGAAATAAGAGTCTCCCATTGACTCGGAATGTCAGAGATCGAGACGGAACATCAATATCAAACCAAAACCCATTCTAAACTTCTCAAAATGGCTCTTAGAACTCTTAAAATTCGAAGAACACGTCCTACAAGCAGGGCCCTATAATTAGGCGAGAAAGTAGACTCGGTACCGTTCCTGTATCTCGCCTCTAGATCAATAACCCGATTATTATCTCCAATTCGACGTGACGCAGGAGGCCAAACAATAGTCATCGATACCCGGAGCATGAACGGCGTCGTAATCTCGGTTTCTCGACAATCGGCTTGCACTTTCGCCGTGGCGTTAACGAGCTGCGAACCGTAGGCCAAAGTAAACGCGCTAATTCCACGTGGAAACAATGGCTGCCGATTCGCTGCTTAATCCCACCTATGCCGCGTCTACGGTAAT